ATCATGCAATTAGAGTGTGTGTATAGAAAGAAAAATAATGATCTGATCTAGATGGAGATATGCATGCATAAGATGAGTCTAGATCCCAGTGCTGTCATTGCTTTGCTGGGGGGTGAGGGAGGAGCTGCTGACTGCCAAAGACAAAATGCAAGCATTTGTATGTAGCTCTGGTTCAGGATAACTAAGCTGGCTTGTCATCTAGTGGGAACCTATCCCAGACCTCCACATTTCTCTCCAGTATGAGGCTATCTGCATAAGCTCAAGGAGGATGCTGTAGGATCACATCTCTGGACTTTTTCATCCCACATTAGCACATGCAGGCCTGCAGGTCCCCAATGATCCTTGCTCTTGATTTTGTGCAGCGCTGTCATGCATGAGTTCTACCAAAGACATCTAGAGGTGACTGAGCTTTGAACTACGGCTGCCACGCAAAGTGGCTGCAATATGGGCCCTGAACTGCTGATGCTATACTTTATAAAGCTCTTGCATTAAAAGGTGATGCCAAAAATTGATCCCAAATTGGATTGCTGGAGAGGACTTTTCACATTTGAGATTAAAGAAAATCATAATCTTTCATTGAAGTACTGAAGTAAAGAATACGTTATTGAAATGTGTGCATAACAGAAAAGAAGAAAAATGAGGGTGCAAAGTCATTTTCATACCTAGAATAATTGGGTTGCTTCTAAATGTAACTTCAGCAATTAGTTTTGTGATTCATCTTGAAATTAAAATAATTTTTCCCAACATATGCAACTATGCCATGGAAACATTGTGGAATTTGTAATTGTTAAATTACAGATTACCTAGCATTAATGTCCCCTTTTCTTAATATGTTTGGGTCTGAGATAGCTTTGGACAAGAGTGAAAAGCCCAGAATGACAGAGGAAGATGATGGCCAGAAGAAGTGTTTGTGTTGCTGGCCATTCAGAAGAGATAGGAGAGAGAATTCCCAGCCTCCTGATGAAACACCAAAGCCTAACCTTTGGAGAATACCTTTTCATCAGAAAGGCTGTTACAGTTCCAAAGTTTATTTACATATTCCCATCATTCTCAGCACCACCCCAGGATCGCCAAGGCTATTCCATACCTGAAAAATAACCCTAATTCAGCTAAAATCCTCACTCTGTAATGAGGAAATCACCACCATTTATCTGACTTTTGGTGTTTCTACCATGACTGTTGATTTGATGCATCGCATTTTCAGATACCATGGTGATGAGAACAGAAACAACAAATACATTAAGATAAGTAGTATCCAGACCGGTATTTTATTCAATCTTTTCCAGCCTGTTCAGTCTGATTGATGCTATTACTGACTTCAGCTCAGCCTGCTGTGATGGGGTGCACAATCAGCAGCCTTCTCACAGTAGTTGTATCAGCAGGAATAAGCACTCCAGTATCCGCCACAAATTAACATTTAAAAGAAATCCTTCCTAGTCTCCTTTCTGATATTTTGTTTCTTTTCTTAACTGGCAGAAATGTGAAGGGCTTCTGTCATCTTGTTTTCCCATTATGAAGAATTCTGAAGAAAAATCTATTTATTGCTTACTCTTTTACTGGATGTTATTCCCAGCTGCTGTGTAATCATTAAGTGAGCTTTAATTTAACAAGTATGCTGCTCTTAGCACATTTTTACTTATGTAGTAGTAAATTAAGTATAACAGATTATAACTGTTCTCCATCATTTAGCCATAAGCGAGACTTCCTTTAAATATCTTTAAAACCAAACCTGTGTGTTTTCACAGCACCTGCTCACCACTTATTCTCATTTGTGATCACAGGTGAAACAATATCCATTTCAAGGATTATTTTTCAAGTTGAGAATCAACATTCCAGTTCATTTGCTTCCTGTTTACTGGGAAGAAAGCTGCACCAGCTGAGGTATGTCACCTCGTTTAGATGAGCAAACTTTGGGCACAGAGATGGGAACACTTCAGCAGCCTGAGTGAATTCACCGGGTCAGTGAGGCAGCTCTGCATTTGCAAAGTGATTTGCTTCACTGTTTCCATTTCAAGTACCTCTACCACAAATTCTACTTTGGTAGTAATCCGAAACTTCTCTCTGAAAGATTGCAGTGCCAATGGCCATGTTCCAGAAATACAGCAACCAAACCCAGTGCAAACCTGATTTCTAGAGGAGCTCTCACCTTTTATCTGCAGCATGCCAAGTTCTTACATTAACCCAAGCCTCTTTGCTTGTCTGTATGGAGAAAACTCCTTGTGAAGGACTGTCACTTCTCTGTCTGCTATCTAGAAATGTATAGAACTGACTACGAGTAACTAGAATAGCCACTACAGTCATTTCTCCAGAACAATGGTTCTATTTAACTTGAATTTTCTCTAGGGCTTTTCACTGATCCTTTAAGATAGTGCATGTCAGAGTAAAATTCTGCTTACAGAAAGCTTGCTCTGCCCTCACCCTTTGATGCCCACAGCACGTCACAGATCTCCCCATATAGCCTGCCCTTCCTTTGAAGTCGTTTTGATTTTGTTTGTTTGCTTTTGAAAGGGGAAAAACAAGCAGGACATGAAAAATGACTGTTATTCTCCTGTCCTTAGCAAAATAGATAGATGGACAGACAGACCTTGTGCTTGTATTTTCATTTCTTTAAAACCACATTTGAAGATTTAACTGTAATGGCCCCTTGTCAGTATTCTCTCTCAGAAACGGTCTTCCAAATCCTTGGCATCTATTTCTCTGCCAGTTTGTGGGGCTGCAGGTCTCCAGGAGGAATCAGCAGAGAGCAAGCTAGCCAAAAGAGCCTAGGGAAAGTAGACACAGGAATGTTAAATAATGTAATTATGCATGAAGTGTGCCCTCCTTCTTTTCCAATAAGTCCATATGCTCTTTTAAATACACATAACGATGGCATTAGCCAGGGAGTCATCCAAGGTTTTTCTCAGCAGCCTTAACTGAATCAGAGCTGCTCCCCTGGCAGCTGCCAGCTGCCCCAGCTCAGCAGAAGGAAACAGCAATCCCATCGGGCAGCTGCAGGCACAGGACAATGGCAATGTGAGCAACGCTTTCAGTAGTAGTTTTTCACATGTAAGCGACTTCACTTTACCTTTATACCCATTATCCAAAAGCCATGGCTGGTGCAATCACTAGAAAATAGCACAAGAAATATTGTCTGATGACTTGTGCGTACAGTGACCTTAATATACGTCTGCTTTTCTTCTCGAGGATTTATCTTTGTCAATTTATAACATTAAATTGTTCTTATTTCAATTCTTACTCAATTCTGATAACATCTTATTTTTTTCAAATGTAATGATTTGTGAATGGAACTCCTTAGAGTTTGGAGAGAAAGGCATGAGTCTTCTGTCTAAGACAAGTGCTTTTACACCTGCATGTCCACAACCTTGCTTTCAGTTCAGGTGCCACTCCTGTTCATCATCTTGCCCCAGTGTTCAGGGTACGCCCAGTCTTTCCATGTGAAGACCTCACAGAAATTGACATTGTTCAACAACAGCAGCCTGACTGATGTATATTACACTTGAAGTTTGAAAGATTGACTTCTTCAAGACAGCCTAATATCCGTGTTAGGGACAAATTCCCTCTGTAGTGATGCATGTTTTATGGTGTTGTGAAAACATGCACATCCCTTAGTCTTTCACACTGCTATCCAGATGTCAGGGAGTTCTAGCAGCAGAAATGCAAGTGGCTACCAGTTCCCCAGTAAGATCCTGTGCTATGACTCTGATAGTAAAAATTGAAATTTTCACCAGATACATAACATTAAAAGCATGTAGGATAAATTATGAAAAGGAAAATAGAAAGGGAAGTAGCTGAGCTAACACCTTAACTAAAAGGAGGAAAAAATAAGGCCTAAAAAGAAAATCTGTGTGCTGTGTTTTCATCAAATATTAACTTCATCCCAAGAGGTGTTCTTTATCCAGATGAAAATATTTGGCTTATTTATCAGAGTGCAGAGGCTTACATTGAGCTGATAGTTCTGAATGCAGTCATCATGAAATGGCTGGTATACATCAGAGACACTGAAAGCGTGGATTGATCAGAGCCTTACGTTCGGCTGCGATCCTAGAAACCCTGGAAGTGTGCATTCAGCTTCTCACACTGCATTTCGTTAGCACTTCAGTGACATCGGGGCCTTTGCTGGTGTTTGATTCCTCGTGTGCACAACGTGGCTGATATCAGATTGCAAATAGAGATAAATGTAAATTGCTTTATGAACTGTTATTATTACAACCAAGTTCCGCTATTAGCTAGGTCTAAATGTTTTCATATATTCCACACCCATGTTGCCCTTTGAGATTTTTAACTGTTGTTTTCTTGTACATTAATAATTTCCTCGTATAATTGTTCCCAAGAGAATGAGCTGAAAGAATTATGAATTAATTTGCATCTCCTTAATGTACTAATAAACTTCCCAAGAAGAAAATTTCACTCCATCCAGGTGGAAACCAATCACTTTAAATCAAAGCTTACTGAATTTCAAAGAGGTGTTTTTTTATTTTTTTTCAAGAAGTTGCCAAAGAACAGTACCCTGCATGTTAAAAGTAATTGGAAAGCAAAAGCAGCAGTTTTAGTAAAAGCCCCAAGTCATTTTTTGCTGCAGTACGGAGCTCAGAAGCATTTAAGAAAATGATTATTTGTTCTACTTAAGGAAAATGAATAGCAGTTTCTTGGAGGTTGAGTGGCCTCTTGCCATCAGTGTAGACTTCACCTCTCTACTGAAAAATTTTGAAACTGCTCTATCTTCTCTTATTATTTGATGCAAACAAATAATTCGTACCACAGACTCCAAAACGCATCAAGAAAAATAAATGTTCTTTTACATGCAATTTATTCAAACAGAATCTTCAGTGAACAAAATGTTCCATGTCTCTATTCATTTAGAACAGGACCTTACTCATCCATTGCCAGGTCCTTGCTCACCCAAGCACTCATCTTCATCTCTCTTTGAGCACTTGAGTAACCAAAGCACTGCTCCCGAGCAACTAAAGCAGCAGTCTGAGTGCATGCTTTAAATTCAAAACATTAGGGGGCTGTTTCAACTAGTACTGTAGTTACCATCAGCTTAAGCGATTTACTGAACTCGGGATTTGACATTCAAGTTTATAAGACTTCACGTATTTTAACAGTCATTAAATTCAGAAATAGAAATGAATGCTGTCGCCCTCATTTTCCGTATCAGATGTCAAACATATAATCAATGAAAAATACATGATTTCATATCAAACTGGCTCTCCAAATTCTCTTTGCACCACTCCATGATATCTAATGTTAAATACTTACATTAGGCACCTAATAAATGTGAGTTTGTCATGTAAATAGCAGGAATAAATTCAGTCCAAAAGACCCCTGTGGTGTGCCAGGAGAGAGACCTGGAATGCTAGAGACAGTGCTGCCAGGAAGTCAGAATAGTTTTCTTCTAATTTGAAAAGCTTCAATGGCAAGATTTACCCTAAGGAGAAATTGCACTAACCACAGATTTATTTATTTTCTGGCAAGGAACACAGTCGTGTGAACCACTGATAGAGATGTCATTTTCTGCAGAAGGATGCCAGATCTGTTGTGTCAGAAGCTTAAGTTTCAAAATTCACAATGCCCATAGTTTTCAGTGGAGCAACGGGCTTGTTGCAGCTCACGTGGCTTTTCGGGACTGCGTTGAGCTAAACCTAAGTGTTTTACTCTCTTCTTTCAGGTGACTGGCAAAGCAGAGTGTCCAGATGAAAATACTTCCTGATATTTCCTGGAAGGCACATAAATGGCGATCCTCGTTCCTATGGCAAGACATGAAATCCCTTCATAAATCATTTACCTGTAAGCACAGCTGACTTAATTCTTCGGTTTCTCCTACAAGACTTGAGGAGGGAAGCGTTAGTCTCTTTGGGAGCAGTCAGACCAGCTTTACCCCACAGCACTGCAGCTGCTCATCACCATCCCTTACGCCCTGGCAGCAGCCCTTGATTGGACATGTCACTCCAGGGGGCCCATAAGGCTGGGGAAGCAGCAAAAGGGCCAATCCCTCACCCAGATCTTGCCTGGAAGGCAGCACCTGCACCCTGCCCTGCTGACCTCAAACATCCCTTCGGGATCCTCAAAGTCCCTACACAGTGGAGTCTTCTGCTCCTGCACAATTTAACCTTCCAATATCCAGCTTGTTCTAGCCCAGGTAACTAGAAGATATCCAGCAAATGCAAAACCTGCTGTAGGTGAAAACACAGACTACTGAAATTAAAATCACAGGAGAATTTTATGTCAGTACAACTTTTCCTGTTTATCCTTCTGATTTCTGAGGAACTGTTCATGTGTTTTCAAAGAACATTACCTTTTCATTTTTTTCTTTTCTATTTTTGTTTCTTTGGAAATGTCACTTTATATACATATATATACATATATATGTACCATCTGGGGAAAACGTTTCGTATTTTCCAAACATGTCTTACTGATGCATATTATTTCTGAAAAACACAAAAGTGGTTCTTTCAGGAATCATAATGTTGATATTTTCATAGATTCACAGAGCATCACTTGACCTGCAAACAACACCCTACCTAATGCAGCCTACATTATCTTCAGCTTTCTTTGTAGCAAGGGCGCATTACTAGCTAATGTCCAGCATGGGGCCTTCTCTGCAAAGCTGCTCTCCAGCTGCTCTGCCCCCGTTGGTGCTGGTGGCTGGGGCTATTCCTCTCCAGGGGGAGGAATTCACATTTTGCTTTCTGGAATTTCATGACATTCCCATTTACCTAGCTCTCCAGCCTTCCAAGGTGCCTCTAAATGGCAGCACAACCAGTGGATTTCTGTAGTCTGCATCTACCTTCCGAGGGTACACTCTGTCCCCTCGTCCAGGTTATTAATGAAGATTGTAAAAAAAAACACCACTGGATTCTGCTCCAGGCATTGGGGACACAGTGCATTTGAACATAATGCTATGAAGAACAGTGCATCAGTGTTAAAAAGCAATTTTTATGTGTGCATTTGGCTGCCAGCTCACCAATGAGCTTTGCTATCACGCTGTTATTCCACATCTTCGTCAGTGTGAGCTTGAACTACTGCAAAAGCTCAGCTAGCTGCTTCAAAGCTCTGCAGTAATACAAAGCTGCACAGTGACTGAAGCTATTGTTTTCCTATCTGAAAGAAAGGCATGTTGCAGTGGTACCAACAGAGAGGATGCAACCTGTTAGTTTTGACTCAAAACCTCTTAGATGGTTTGAGACTCACTTATATGAGGCCACTGTTTTCCCATTCATGTGCAATCACTGATTTTGCTAGCTAAAGCATTTAAATTTGTTGACTACCTGCTAGTATCTGCTTGCAGGTCAGTTTCTATGATACAGTCTCAACAGCTGAATTTGCTGCAGTGTGGGTCCTTTGTGGATTTCAGTTGCTTCTGGCAAAACTATCTGTTAAAGAAACAACTTGGGACAGAGCAGGACTGAGGATCTTATTTGAAATTCCCCAAAGATTTTTCTACAACATTACATGCTCTAGTGAGAGAAGAATTTGATTCCCTGCATAAATTATTACTATTTCACCATTAATAACTGAATTATACATTTAAATGTTAATTAATATAACGAATCCTTTAGTACCCAACAGTTACAGAGTATTATAAACTCTGAAATAAATTCTACAAGCCTCTAAATAAACAATAACATTTGTGGACTGAAACTGGCTTTTCTTTATTCTGTTTTAGGAGACCTTGGCGCTACAGACTTCAGAGCTCAGAATTTCCATTTACTCCAAAAGAAAGTCAACAATCTTCAGAGTAAGTTCAAGTAGACCTTGAATCCCACTAGGTCTGGCACTCACGCATGAAATTTACACACTTCCTGTGCTTCGTTCTTCTCATTCAAATTCTTCTTTAAGATCCCACTTGCCAGTGCATTTTCAAACCTCTCCCATACCTCATCTCTCTCATCTGACTTTCATTTTGCAAACTAGCAGTTCACGATATTCCCTTTCTTGTGGTTTAACCAAGGAAGCTCCAAGGTATAGAAAGGCTTATCTCACAATCCTCTAAAGTTTATCTGGAACTCTCATTCTATTTCTGTACTTCACTCTGTATTCAACAGCTTTTTTTTTTTTTTTTTTTTTTTTTTTTTTTTTTTCCTCGTTATATTTGTCTTTGATCCTGGCTCAAGGCCCTCACAGTCTGTTTTACTTGGCTGTGAAGAATCATGCCCATATGTAGTGTTGAGGCTGGAAGAAACTACAGAGCAGTAGCTGGAGTGGGGCTGTAAAGGGTCTGCCAAAGCAAATTTAAGGCTGCCAGAAGAATTCTCCTCTGAAGAACACTGTGTTTCTCAATAGTGCCTGGCTTATAACTGAATGTAAAGTTAGGATTAGCATGAAAGTGAAAGCCTGAAATACAGCTGGGATGGAGCTGGAAAAAAGCCTGGCAAAGAGAAATAGGGCTGCCAAAAGAAATTTTCTCCCAACAGCATTAAGGCTCTGGGCTATAGAGTATCACTGACCTTTGGTTCAGCATAAAGCTTATTGCTAGGGATGGAGACAAAAAAAAAAAAGAAGTTAAAAATTAAAAAAGCCAGAGCTTCAGCTGGCATGGAGCTGCTCAAATGAAAACAAGGGCTACAAATGGAAAATCCCCAGGGAAATCCATACTCTAGTCAAGCGCTGCAGCAGCTTTCCAAGGGCTGGCGATAGGAATAGTTTCAAGGATGGTCCAGAAAAAGTTTAACGCTCCAGTTGGACTGAGGTTGGAAAGAAGCTGCCAAAGGAAGGGTTCAATTCTGGAAGGGCTAGAGCACCCTCAACACGCTCTGCTTGGGTCAAGGCTGGAAACACATATACCTTTGATTTATGTACAACATGTACACAGTGTTGCATTTTGTGCTTTTGAGTCATGCTTATCTGCACCCGACAACACCTCAGGCGCACAAAGCAGGTAACATACCGGTGGGGAAGGCGTGGAGAACAAGACCGCTTGTTCTCCTTGGAGGCAGAGGGAACCGCTACAGCCTCGCTGGGTGATTTTCACCAAGCTGATGCCATCTGCTGGTCGCGCACGGAGGGGACGCGCAGTGCCGAGGGGCGGGCAGGGCGACAGACTCCGCATGCAGGGCCAAGCGCGTTCCGTCCATGCTTTACACACAGCAGGCAATGGGGTGAGAACACCTTCAGCAGCTCGGCTCTCCCGCCCTTATCTGCCTGGGCAGGGGCCCGCTGATCGCTGGAACCCAGCCGACAAAGTTACGCAGCCCAAGGGCGGCGGCGGGGAGCGACGGCCGCAGGGCGGCGCCCGCACTCAAAATGGCGGCGCTGCGGCGCGCTCCCCGCGGGTGAAATGGCGGCCGATTCGCGCCGCTCGCTTCTCTAGCGAGCTCAGCGGCTCTGTCCGCAGCGGCAGGCGCCGTGAGAGAGCTCGGAGCCGGCCCTATGTAAAGCAGCGTTGTGGGCCCAGTGGTGATACCTAGAACTACGTGAAACAGCTCGAGCGTCTCACGGCGGCTTCCAGAAGTTTCTCTGCCCGCATTAAAGATGGCGCAGCAGCCGTCGGTAAGGCTGCCGGACATCGCATCACCCCGCTTCCGCGAGCCAACGGCGCTTGCGCGCTCCGGAACCACGTGGGAGGACCGAGCCAATCGTGGAGGCCGCGTGGGTCAGTAGTGCGTCACTTCCGGTCCCGAGTGGGTGTTGTGGAGGGCGTTCGTGAGACCGAGTGGGTGCTCGGGCCGTGCTGGTGCGTGATGGGCCGGGCCGGTGGGGTGCGCTGCGCTGCCTTTGTAGGCTGGCGAGTAGAGGAGCTGGGTCGGGTTGTGTTGGGGTGTGCAGAGCTGGGCTCGCAGAGAGTGGGGGGGGCTGAGGACTCAGGTTAGGCCTTTTGGAGGCGGCCTTTTGGAGGCTTTCTCGGTGCGGCCTAGCCATGAGATGTGCGCTGGGTTCCTTCTTCAGCCCCGCCGAGCAGGAATAGCCGTCCTCGCCCCTGGGGTCCGCAGCGGCTCCGCGGTGCCGCGTTTTCAAGTGAACACTTTGGGGCGTTGGTGTTCCGTTTGGTCTTTAACTGCGTAGCGATTGATGCAGGAAGTAGTTTGCTTCAAATGCCAGCTTCTTCTTCTTAAAAAAAAAAAAAAAAAAAAAAAAAAAAAAGTCGTATTCACGATGTTTTAAGTTTAAGTTCTTACCCTGTGGGTTTACATGCAAAGATTAGGGCGTAACTAAAGAAGCAGGATGCGTCCCTCTAGGTATTTTCAGTTATAAAGTACGGTTTTGTCACTGTGCTTCAAAGCAGTGAGATATTTTTTTTTTCTGCTGTCATTGCTCTGTACTGTTGAAGTACACCTAACATTGATCTCCTTGCTTGTGATGCACATGGTACTTGCGGAACTAAGGGAACATTTGCAGTACTAAGCTATCTATGGAGTGCAGAGGCTGTTCTTTACCTATGCTGCTGATTCATGTCTAAGTCATATCATTGTTCTCTGGTCTAAACTGCTGCAGGGTGACCTGAACTTGTATTCTGGGCAGTGACTTTGACTAAAAGCTCTGTGAAAGTTGTGTATTACTACTATTTCAGTTATAGGGCATGCTGTAGTTGAGAATAAGTACAAAGCATACCTTTTTGTCTGAAAACCACGTAACAAAATGGTAAAGCGTGCTTTCTCATGCAGTTACAGGAACACAGTATATAGGATTGTTACCAAGCAAACATGCTGGTTGCACGGCTCGTGTGCCTGAGGACACTGCCATGCCAGGCTATCCGCCCCACCATCGCTCAGGCTTCCCCAGCTCTGAGGAACTCTGGTATAAAAGCATTTCGTCTGTGGCAGCCTAACCAGGTACAGTAAACTTTGAAAGGTTGAGTGTTTTGCCAGAAGTGTTGTGCTTGCAGTGCTTGTTTTGAATGCTTGTGAGCCCTTTGCTTGTTTGACATACCCGCTGTAACTTAAGGAAGGGCAGTAGTCAAAACCCAGAATTTGTTTTAAAAGACTTGAAGTAGTGTATTCCATTAAAATTCTTGGGGAAGGAAAATAATGTAATTGACATTGAGTAGGCATTACTATGCAAGTTGAGAGGAGCAGAAATTCTTGTTCAATCTGTGCCTGTATCCCATTTCCCAGTACGAGTCTTAAATACTGTGTTAAAGTACAAACTTTACTTCTGAAGACTTTATTCCCAGTATATTTTTAGAGTCGTAGCACAGATTTGTGTCAAATTTGAACTCTGGCAGGACTATCTGGAGACTTACAAGCAGTTCAAAAAACTGGAGTGTTGTTATCCTAAGTCTTCACTGACAGAAGATTATTCTGTGTGTTTTCATCATAAGCATAAAAAACCTATTTTAATTAATTTAAGATTTCAGGTTGTTTTTTTTTGTTTTATTTTCATTAATAAGGGTGTTCCATTAATAAGGTGTCCCATCACCGCAGCAGTGACTTCAGAAGACTTGAAAAGTTGTTTCTGCTTTTAAATATGCATTTCTTTGCTGCCCTTGCGCGTTTTTGAGGCTTCAGTGGAGCAGCATGCTGTATTTGTTTGGGTCATGTTAGTCATAGAAACCATAGAAATTGATAGGCCTTCATTCAAGGTTTGTTCTCTAAATTAAGATTAGATTTGAAAATGGCAAATTCACGCTGCTATCCCATGTTTACTGGGCAGGAGTACTATTCTTGCACAAATTTAAGTGAAATGTGAGTTAATTACATGAGAAGTGAAGTAAAAAATCTTCATGGTGTTGCTTAATACTGTAGAAACAGAGCAGAAGAAATTCTGTCATAAACCTTATTTTGTTTTGTATTTTTTGCTAAAACTGAGAACTTCTGTGTTGATTCTATGCTTCTATCATGTGAAAATGTTTTTTACAAAGTTACCTAAAATGTGTTGTTCAGCTGTTCTGCCTGAGCTCGATTGTTTCACATCTCCAGGGAGAAGCACAGGTAGAATAAGAGACAAACTAGCAATTGCAAGTGTGTCAAGTGGCTGGCGGTGTTTCAGCATGTTACAAATTAATTGCTTTCTTTCAGAAATGGTTTGTTACTAATCTGTACATGCAGTTCCTTAAAAGGAATTTCTCTTACTTAATGTCACTGAATCCTTCTAATTTTACCTTTGAATCTAACAGTGTTATGCCACCAGAGTAAGAACGGGCGTAAGGCGTGGGAAAATTGGCCAGGAAATTAAAGAAGCAGCATTTGAGCCATCTACAGAAACTGCTCTTAAAGGTGAGGTTCCTGCTTTAAAAACAGCAATTTTTTAAAAGCTGAACTGTTGAAGGAAACAGTTCCCTTCAAACCACTAAATAGTCTGAAAACATTGCTTAGTATTCTGAATTGACCTGTGACCTATCTTAAATGTCTGGAGACTGTTCTTCTGCTTGTCTTTTCTGTGTTGTTGCTGCACATATGTCCCAATTTCTCCCAAGAAATTTCTTGTTTTTGCTTTGAGCTACAGTTGTGAACTATTAAGTCAGTGTGAGTTCCTGTTGATGGAGATGAGTACTTCCTTGATTGCAGATGTTTGAAAGGAGGAAAAAAAAAAAAAAAAAGCTTTGCTATATATGTTTTGTATGCTATTGAAAGGAAGTACTGTTCTACAATGTATAAGGATTGGAGGAAAAAAAAAAACCAAAAAAAAAAAACCAGACAGATTGTGTTCTAATCTAATGCTAAAGAGCTCTTGATCAAGCATTACATCAAGAGTGGATGATGGGAAAGGACACAGGATCTGCAAGTCTTCTTTGGGCAAGATCTTTAACTGGTTTTGTGTTGCTATTCCTGTTTGTTTATGTAATAAAGACCAGTAAAGCCAGCGTTTTGCTGGTTAGTCTCTTAATTTTTATTATGTTTTATGAAGCTCTGTAGTAGCGGTGGAGTGAATCTAGAGTGTTTTACATAAAGCTCTTTTAGAAATGGTAACACAATTGTGAAGCTTTAAGAAGCCTGGCGTGGATCAGCTGTTACAGATAAAAGAGATTGGTGTGAAAACGTTATTATCTATCTGAGAAAAAAGCATTGTGAGTGCATGATTTTTATCTTTTGCCCTTTGATATACAGTTGATCGCCTGGGAAAACTTGTTGTTGCTGGAGGGGCTGCGGTTGGCCTGGGGGCGCTCTGTTACTATGGCATGGGCATGTCCAGTGAGATCGGAGCTATTGAAAGAGCAGCGTAAGTACGACTGCTTGTTGCTTTAAGGAAGGGAGACTTGAAGCAAATCTCCCTCCTCCTTTCGTTTGTTGCTTCTGTAGCTGCTGTCTCCCAATATACACGTAGCTTATTTTTCTTAAGCTCTGGGCAGAAATTCTGTGCAGGATTCTAAGCTGCCCACTTGTAGGATGATGCATGATGATAGCACTCATTCATGTCTTTCTGTTAGTCTTGCTCTCCAAACAACACGCACGTCTTGTTACAGATAAACATGGGCACAGTGACTCAGCATTTTGTGAGCAGCTTGCTGGGCTTCTTACTGCTCAGGACACATTCTGTACAGATTTTTCCTTAACCCAGTTTATTTTACATACACTGTTTTGTAGTTTTCCATAGTTAAAATTTGTTACTTTTCCCCTTCTATACTTTCTATGATGTATGCTTCCTACACAAAATTGAACTGTAATTGGCATTCTTTGTAATTGTTGCTTTAATTGTTATGTAATAGCACTGTATGGTGGGAAGGATTTAAAAGTTCAGCACCTTTGTTGTAGGAGGAACTCATGACAGAAATTGCTAAACCTTACCAATTCTTAGGATGCTCCCATTGTATCCTTAGCTTGAAAATGCTTATAGTTGATCTTCATTCTGGTGTTGTTAATTGCACAGCTATGTACAAATGCTTATTTTTCAGTATTTGGCCCCAGTATGTGAAGGACAGAATTCGCTCTACCTACATGTACTTTGCGGGAAGCATTGGCTTGACAGCACTGTCAGCTGTAGCAGTAAGCAGATCTCCTGCACTCATGGGCCTTATGACAAAAGGCTCCTGGCTGGTAAGTTCATGTTATATTTAGAGTGTCTGTAAAGTGATCCTAAATGTTAACGGTTGTTATCAAATATAAAAAAAACTGTGCAGATATTCACGGATGTAGCCTTTAAGGGCACAGACAATAGTGTAATGCCCTGATGGCTTTTTGTGACTAAAAATCCAATTACATGCTGATGTGCCTCTTTGGTACCTTGTTGATAGTTTGTGGAAGACCAACTATGTATGCAAGAAACAAAAATGCTATGCTATCCTGACCAGCTGTATGCAAGTAATAACTTGCTATGACTGGCTGTCTGAAGCTAGTGACACTGTTTCTGTCACTTTCTAAGAATCAAATCAGAGATTTTTATGCATTTGTACTTCTTTGTGTGCTGTTCTTTGTAACTCTTTGAAAACTTTCATTTTTGCTGAGGCCCAAATGATATTGGCAGACAAATCATCCAGGTAAGATAACAAGACATGTCTGCTTCCTATGCATTCATTGTGCTGAGCGCAGTGGAATAGTGGTGGTTCAATGTGGCACAACATCCAGTGGTTAATCCTTGTGATAAGAACAAGTTACCTCCTAGGAGGCTGGAAAAGATCACGTGGGAGAACAGAGACCTTTTGTCCATATGCCAGCTTTAGCTCTGTGATGCTGTTCTTACAGGCAATCGGTGCAACTTTTGCTGCTATGATCGGTGCTGGAATGTTGGTCAGGTCCATATCCTATGAAAACAGTCCAGCAGCTAAACATCTTGCTTGGATGATGCATTCAGGTATGTGTTTATAGTTTTTGTTAAGTTGTCTGCCTCTATATGATTAAATTCTCACTTCTACTATTATATCTAAACTTTGTTAATTTTTACGTGCTGCTGTAGATTTCAGAAACCAGTGAGGTGTCTCATTTGTCCTCTAATTTCTCATAGTCTTGTAGAAATCATGCTTAAGCAAAACTTGAGCCAAACTGGAAAGAACTCATTTCTTAATACTTGCTTTGGTTTCACGATTGCGTTCTGACTCCATAGCTTCTGTAAGCGCTACGCTTACCATATTTCAGCTGTATAGGATAAGTAAGTGTATGAAAACTGATCAGAAGGATACAGTTTTGGTATTAAACTGCAGCTTCTTGATCGTATGTTATCAATCGATTTATAGGATGGAGTACAGATTTATTTCTTACGGATGTTACACGCTTCCAGTAACAATGGCTGTCATAAAAACTGTTGCCGGAAGCGTGGTTTGGGGAAAACAAACTCATCTGGCACTGGAATTACACTTTTCTTTGTAGAGCTGAAGTTTCTACTAAGAAGGAAGTGAATTTATTGCAGTTATTTGTCATTTATGGGTAGAGGCTTCATGCAATTCTCTAGCAAAAAGTATGACTGACGTAGCAAAAAAAAAAATCTATCAGTTTTGAGAATTCCTGAAGCTGTGAAGGAGTTGGTCAGTCCATTCTAAGATGAGCTTCCTGAAGTATTTTCTAAAGCTAGTGGAAAGTAGATCGCTGAGCTTAAGATTGCATGCCTGTCTAGAAGGCAGCATGATAAATTGGCAACCAGGTGCCTTGGTATTCTGTCATGTGAGTGGTTTCAAGCTGTGTTATCTGACTCAAGTAGATATAGTTTTGGTAGGTGGTGTTTTTACCTGGACTGTTCCAAACCTGTTACGTTTGGTTTTTTGTTACTTTGGCTAGGTGTCATGGGTGCAGTGGTGGCTCCTTTAGCTTTCTTGGGTGGTCCTTTGCTCATCAGAGCTGCCTGGTATACAGCTGGAATTGTCGGAGGGCTCTCAACTGTGGCCATGTGTGCTCCAAGTGAAAAATTTCTGAACATGGGAGGACCACTTGGAATAGGCTTTGGCTTCGTTCTCGCCTCTTCGATTGGTAATTTACCATTTTAATGCTTTTAAATAGAGTAGGCAGTAAACTGAAGCTGCTAGAATGTGCAGCTAACTTCTGATTGCAAACTGGTCTGTCCAGTTAAAATTGGCCTGGAGTAGCCATTGCAAGACACATGCTGCAGCTCTGTGTAATGCTATTGCATATTCTTTTCCAGGATCCATGTTCTTGCCACCGACTTCTGCTCTTGGGGCTGGCTTGTATTCAGTAGCTGTTTATGGAGGATTGGTACTCTTTGGCATGTTTCTGCTCTATGATACGCAGCATGTTATCAAGCGTGCAGAGACTATTCCATATTATGGAGTAACAAAGTACGACCCGATCAATGCGTAAGTATTTAGATCTGAAGGCACGTGTAACAGTTTTGAGCTGTGTAGAGCTGCGCTTTATTTCTAAAGAGCTGTGCAATTTGTTTGTTGTTGTCTTTCTGTAAAATGGGAAGAATTGTCAGTTTAGGAATGTAATGTGAAAATAACTAGTGGAGTTGAGACTGAAATCATTTACCTGAAATGAGGGAAATGACTTCGAATATGTGGTGTCACATGCCCCTAGTGACACTAACTGTAAAAAAAAAAGTTTGTTTTGTGGATCATTTCTAGGAGGATTTGTAACTGATCTCTGCAAATAACTATCAGTATCAGCTGAGATGAAGAATGCTGAATCTTGTGTAGTCGTGTAATATTTACTAGTCTTAATGTCCTTTAAAAAAAAAAAAAAAAAAAAAAAAAAAAAATCAGCAAGGCTTTAAAGAAAGAAGGATTAGCTGACCGTCGGTCAGGATAAGTCTGACTAATAGGTAACTTCCTCACTGTAAACATCTGTCTGATCTTAGGTGAATTCCTCATTTCTTTGCATCTGGTCGTCTGTAAATAGGATAGTAGTCATCACCAGAATTCTTGAAGTTAAGCAGTGAGAGTGTAGAAGTAAAAGAATCCTGTGAGAGAACGGTGTGTTGTCTGTGAAGTTTTCTTGCAAATTGATGCTGCTGGCAGAGATGGTAGAGTGAAATAAGGCGGTATTATTACTCATCGAGCCTAGAAGACGTGCTGTAGTTGAGTTTTATTACAGACCTTTAATGGAGGCTTTTAAGAAGTCAAGTATAATGGCAGGAAATAGCAAAAATAATACTCATTCTGTTTAACAGGATTAACTTTCATTTTATCTCTCCTAGGTGCATGGGCATCTATACAGACACACTGAACATCTTCATTCGTGTGGCCACCATGCTTGCTGGTGGTGGAGGTGGAAGGAGAAAGTAAACCGAGACTCTTAGCAGCTGTCTGACAGCTCAGACTGTTAAATTGTCTATCTAGTGCATATAGTAAATAAAAATTCATCGTTACCAGCAGTTTTGCTGCAGGTCAGAAGTTAAACGCATTTCAGCCTGTTGTTTAAGTGCAATGTGATTCAGACTTAACAGTGTATCATCAAACACCTTCCAATAGCGTGAACAACTTCAAAGCGTACATATTTGGGGAAAGTAAATTATTTAAAATATATCTGAGTAAAATTATCTGATTTTTTTTTTTAATGGGCTTGGAAGCAGTTCAACTGTTGCTTTCCTTTTTAATGGAACTGTGCAGAAATAATAGTCACTTGTATAGACATGTATCTTATATGCAGACAATGACAAGCTACTTCAGGAAATACTGTTCACGTATAACAGTTTTCAGTTAAGATTGTGTAAATAATATTTTCTTGAAGCATTTAGAAGAACTGAGCGAAGTGCATATGACACTGAATGTAGCAAAGGCTACTGCTGCCTGGGCAGAAACCTCAGAAAGATTTAAGCAGTTGTCAGAAATGCACTGGATGGGATGGCTGATGTGACCAACAATGTAAAGGAGACAAGATGAGGAGCCTATGTGACATCTGCCCTTCGTGAAAATGTCATTCTCCGCCTGGAGCATGTGAAGACACCTTGTCTGTTTCCCAGTACCTTAATGTTGAATGGATGTAATAACAGTTGGACTTTTTTGATAGTAGATCTATCAAGTTGTTGGGTAATTATAGAGGTCTTTCTTGTAGTGACTAATTTTTGGTATTTTAAGTGAAGCACTGTTCTTCAGAAGAGCTCCCCACATTTACTTGCTCTTAGAAGCTTGTACAATTAGCACTGAAAGAAAGGGAATTGAGAATGGCCTGCTGTAAACCCAGGTATCACAGGCATGCTATTGTTAGATGCATTGTTAGTCTCTCTTTAATTCTTTTCCAGATTGGTATATTTAGCTCAATTGAAAGGAAATGTTCCTGTCAGTAAAATTGATTTAACATTAAGAAATATATACATGCAAAAGTACATTGTGTTGTGCTGGATTAAGGGGCAAGGGCACAAGGAAGTTTTGAGCTCACAGAAGTGACTTTACTTCAGTTTTTCTGGTAAATTATGCTGTGTTTATGGGAGAAATAAAATTCTAGCCTCACATGTTGATAACTCTCACTTTTCCTGTGTTACTGAAATATTTTAACATTGCACTAATAATACACTAATAACTCGGTGAAGAGTGCTATACCTATTTCCCCTACTGATTCTTTTGTAAGGGAAGGTGTTCTCCTCAGTTTTTTTTTTTTTTTTTTAAAAAAATCCATGACTTGCAGTTTCACTGGCTGCCATCCTTTGGAGGATGTTTCCCAGATGAAAAATGATGATCTACAGTTGCTTCCACAGAATGGCCAGGACTGGGAGAGCCTCAAGAATCGTGAATCTCCAACCTCCTGTCACATGCAGGACAACCAACCTCCTCACTTAATACCAGACCAGGCTGCCCGTGGCCCCATCCAACCTGGCCTTGAACACCTCCAGGGATGGGGCATGCACAGCCTCTTTGGGCAGCCTGTTCCAGCTTGTCACCACTCGTAGTAAAGAAAGGGGCCTTTCTGGTGTGTCCTGTTGGCTGTGGACTGCAGCCAGTGCTGCAGGTTTGTTGTATACTACACTATTTCTCTTCAGTCACGGTGAAGAAATGCTGGACTGTGAAGAACCCTGCCCAAAACCTTTTGTGCCCAAAGATTAGACAGCACAATCTTGTTTCCAGCACTGTTTTCCATGAAGTGAAATACATGGTGCTTAAGAGGAGGGAAGGAATCTCTGAGTTTGTGACAAGTATTAACTTTAAAGGGTTTCTCAGCTCTTCAAGCAACTTCATATGCTTAATCAGTTTCCCCATACTGTTGCTGTGGCTGAACAGTAATCAATAATAAACAGTAATTAATAATAAAATATGCTTGTAATCAAGTTCTAATCTACGGCGGGCTGCCCTGTTAGGTAATTTAGATAAACATGTCTGTAACGAAAGAAAACTTAGACCAAACTACTGTTTTTGTTTTTCTGGGAACAAAGGTTTAGAGGCTGATTGAACCGCGATGGGGGTCCCTGGGTGCTTTGGAATTGTAAGGTATAGAAGACATAATTGTACAGAATTGTAAGGTATAGAAGCACTCTAATGGGAAGGTCTCATAACCTTTTAAGAAAAAAGCTAACAACCTAAGGGTGTTTCAGGAAGCATGAATGCTCATTTGTATTGGGTCTTCTGGAAAGATACAACTCCTGTAGATGAAATTGTGTCATCAGGAAAATATCTTCTTAGGGCTGGCTGTGTGGCCCCCCAGAAATGGGGGAAATGAAACTTATTTTACATGTGAATACCGTGTAACAATCAAGATTTGTCTTAATGCAGTGCTGATTCGAGGAAGGATAAAAGCTTAAAATGCAGTGGTTTAATAGGCATGAGAACCTGGTGCTCATTTTTCCAGGGGCAGCATCAATCCAGGAGTTTTTCATGCTGTTTTTCTGTCCTGCTCCAATGAATATGAACTCAGAACTGAAAAGATTGTTGAATAGTAATGATAAAATTTATTAGAGTGCTGTTCACGGGAGTAGTTTATTTTGTTTCTGTAGGTTTTGAAAACTTAGGAGATTCTCATAAAGTAGGAATTAAGATCTGTTCAGTACGTCTTAGTTTTGAGAGCAAAGGGAAGCTGTGGAAGGGCTGTTATTTAATTCTCTTAAATATTGAGTACTTTCAAAAGGACATTAGGTGCTTTATATCCTGAAATTCAGACCTGTAAAAGCTAATCAATACTGCAGTTAGTTTTTACACTCAATTTCATTCAACTCAGAAAGAGAGGAAGCTCAAGTAGCTGTTACCAGGAGGCTAAAAATTCAAGACTGATGAAGGAGTAAAACTGGTTCCGCGGTTTCTTTGAACAAGGAATGTTGCTTAACATTTTGCTGGTTTTACTTTGTCCTCTCTTTTGGCTACTTTTGTTGACTTGGTTTTTTTGGTTTTTTTGTTTGTTTGTTTGTTTTTGTTTGGTTTTTTTTTTAACAGTTACGAGGCTCTAAGAGGTTCTTTTTTACATCTGATTCTTTTTGTTGTTAGATTGAGGAGAGTTATACGTAATTGAATTCTATGGTTGACTTTTAATGAAGCCTTCAGGAAAAAATTCTGTATGGCACTTAAATTATTTTTGAATTTATGAGGAGTGGGAGAAATGTGTTATAAAAACAGGCAGGATCAAAACCTTGCTTAGTTTCCTCTGTTTTGAGTGAGTGAACTTGTATTTAAGAAAGGACAGTTGTCAGGTCTTTGAGTGAGATCACGAAGCACTGTGTAGTTTAGTGAGAAGTGTGTAAGCATGGCAGGAAGGAATTGTAGGTTTCATTAACCAGAAATAGGGCCTTATTTAAATCATGATTAAAATAGTATAAAACCCAGGAGCAAGGGGAGACGATTCAAAACTCCCTTCAGTCTAATGGAGATTCTGGTTAGCTTTGTTTATTGAGGTCTTAAGTCAAGTCTTATATCCTATGCTGAATTGTGATGGGTACTGTGAACAGTTGGCTCGCTTCAGCGTGGTTTATGCAGGAAGTTGGACAGGTTAGCAAAGTTACAGCTTTTCTCAGGCTAAAAATGTAAAAGCCTATTTACTCATACGTATGATGAGTGACGCTTAGGGGTCTGTTTCTTTGCTTAACTGAAGCAATTCTGTTGAAAACACTTTTTTCATTTGGATTGCATTTGTGCCCATGAACTACAAGGAAGGAAGAAGGATGGGGTAGGGAGGAGAAGACTAAAGGGTTTTTTAGCTTGTGCAGGCAGCAAAATGGAGCCTCTTGCAGTTATCGAACCATAGATTCTCAGTAATATTAGTAACTGAAGCCAATAAGGATGGATAGAGATATATGCCATGCTTCCAGATTGGTCAATCAAGGGTAGTTCAAGGTAATAAGGATTGCTTCAAGAGCAACATGACTGATATTTTTGCTTGTTTCATTACTCTTAATGTATGTTTACTTGGTGTGGGCTTTATTGCTAAACAGGTTGTAGTTGATCTTGCCCTTGTTTCTGTTGTGTGTGATGGTACCTGAGCGGTCTGTTGCTACGTTTCAATGGGGACGTTAACCTGCCTTTGATGTGGAGACATCATTTGGAGGGGAGAAAAGAAATCACAACAATTCAGATCCATGATAGCAGAATACTGATGGAAATGAATTCTGTCCATAAGGACTTGGACTGAATGCCGTGCTAAGTGTTCTACGTGTGAAAGAAATGTTTTTTCTTTTGTTCTGGTCATCTAGTTTAAGCAGGATATAATTTAGGAAACTTTTGACAGCTGATATGCTAAAGCTTGCAGCTCTTTGAGAGGGCAGTGAGAAGAGCTGTGCAACTTTCTGGTTATGGAGGCAGTTCTGTTCCCACTGTGCCCCACTCCTTTTCCCCAGAGCGAGGGAGAAACAGCTCCTACATGGGGAGGACCATCTATACTTCCACTGATTGTAAGAGATTCTTCTCTCATTCATAGCTGCTGCTGTTTGAGAAGTCGCTTTTCCTTGTCCTCTTTCAGAAAAAATGATGGAAGAATGCAGGACAGCTGACCAGGTCTTTTGCACAGAGTGCCTGCTTAGATTGCTCAGTGCTTAATTCCTGAAGACTTAGTATGAGGAAATGAAGTGGTACATTGACAAATGTCTGGACAGACATCTTGTTCTCCTTCCTGAATAGGTAGGGCATTTAATCAGCTGGCAAGCCTCCAGAGCAGGAAATACTGTGCAGCTGTCAGCCTTTGGGGTTTCCAGAAAGATGTTGTGATTAATCTGCATATTGATCAGTTTCGAACATAAATAAAACTTGTCTGCTGATCTGACAGGAGCTGGTTTCAGGGGTGGCAGGGAGAGTTTGCCCTTCTTGAATGGGTGTATGTGATGTTGCTCAACCATTGTGGTGTATTCCTGGTTCTTCTGTAGTGTGTGTGTTTATGCTGATGGTTTAATGCAAGACAAGTAAGCGTTTCTTGTTTCGGTAGTATGAACTCCAGATTTTGAACAAAGGTGTTTGGAAGCACAGGCTGAGGCCTTATGCGTTTCTGTAACAATATGAATTTCAGCTTCTATTCCTTCTGTCGTCTCCTACACAGACAGTTGTATGTTTCGTTGTTTGGTGTAGTTTCAGCTACTTGTGTCAGCTTGCTAAAACCATGTAGTTCTGTTCACTGGGTGCTGTTTCAATGTAATGAGCCCAGTCTATCCCTCAAAGCATTTATGGTCACTTCAATTGTGTTTGTGACTGGGAAGGAAGAAAAAAATAGACTTCAAGAACAATCGTTTTGCTTTTAGTTTGAAGTTTGATAGGGCAGGGAAGCATGGCTGAAACTTCTATTGAGAGCCCAAATTTTGACTGAATCTACACAGGCAAGTGACATCGGTGATTAGAAGGTGAGCTTTTTGCACTGCACCTGAGCTTGCATTTCTCTTTGCCCTGGGGCACTAATGTGTAATTTGCCAACATATCAGGAGTTTTGTTTTCCTAAAATTGTTCTGGAGGGAAATAAAATCTGCTATGTTACTTGCTCTTACAAGTTCTAAACTCACGAATGGATGTATTGCTTTAAGAAATGTGGTTATTTTTGCTTGGTTTTGCAGGTATGTTGTTGTTTTCAGCTTTCTTGTGTTGTCATTCTTCTTCCTTAGAAGAGGATTTGTTGTACTGCTTAGGAGGAAGAAGCGAACATCTTCATCCCTGGGCAAGCAGTCACCACAAAAAAGGAATGAGGTGGTATTGATGGTAGATTCATAGCAACTTGTTTGGTCTTGGTGGGACGGTAGAGTGATTTTGGATTTGTGCTTAATAAATTAATGGTACATCTGCTATAGCATGACAGCAGTTGTTTTGATACAAGTAAGTCATCATGTCCCCACTACATCACCAGTGCAGTGGTGATGAGTTAGTGACTTGGAAGAAATATAGTACCTCTATAGGTACCTAGACTCCCATATAATTTGTATACTGTATATTTAGGATATTTTGTGAATGTTACCTAAGTCTTAAAGATTTTCCAGTGAAGTATTTAATGCTGGTTTTGTTTTTTTGTTGGTTTTTTTTTTGGTTTGTTTGTTTTTTCCTGCTAGTGGTCAGAAGCTCTATTTTTCTCCAGTCCCTGGCAGATTCCTTGTTGACCAAATCCAGGATGACAGTGTTGTCATGCTATTTTCTTATGAAATTAAAACTTGAAAACACTTTGCAACAATTATTTTTTGTAAGCCTGCTAGTAAGAAGTGGCAACACAATGTGTTAAAAGGTTGAATTTATGTTCTGTTGATTTTTTTTTTAATAAACAAAAATTAACAAATAAAAAGAAAAACGCTATTTTTTAGTTACAGCTTCATTCTTGAGAATGCTTCTGAGGTAAATAATTGTTCAGAAGCTAAATATGGGTGTCTACAAAAACAAATCAAACAGCATTTAAAATAGGAATGAAGAAATCAGCAAAAATATTATGTCTTTCTGATCCTCTTCCCATTCGTCTATCTCTGAAAGTAGAATCTGAAAGGAAAGATGCTTAAATCTTAAGGTCAGCACTCTAAGACACAGCGAGAGAATATGTGGGTGAGAGAATTATATTTCTAGAGTGGGTCACTTCTGCTGCCATTGGCTATTCTTCACTACTGGAGTGAGGTTGGCAAATGGTGGATTAATGACTAATCCGGGGACCTCCTGCTGCTGGGTTTTTTGGCTTTGTAGCAGCTGGAATTCCAGCACGGGGCTGCAGGTCTGAACAGCCATCCTTACTAAGAACTGCCACAGACTGATGTACTCAGTTTCCCATAAGAAGAGCTCTTATAAGTTGTTGTAAGAGCACATCTGTACCTTGTAGCGATGAAAGCCACTGCAACTGAGCACTGAAATAAAAATCCAATTCTTCCTTAAATACTACGTGGAAGGGTTATTTAAGTGCATTATTCTTCTCCCAAAATGAGTCCATTTCAAATTTTTAAGTGCAAAGATGGTGTAGCTGCTGACTTAAATTATGGTATAAAGCAGACCTACTTGAAACACTGTGGGGAAAGGCAGCGTGCTCATGGCCATAAGGCCGTGAAGAAAAGTGCCAGCTAGGTGAAGAGCATCCTTGCTACCACTATTCCATCATTTGAGAGGGAGCAGCTGGAAAAAATATTGCAAGGAACTAAAATAAACCCTTGTGGTGAAGGCAGGTGTTTATCCTCATGGAGTAATGGATAACAATCACCTGCACAAGATGTTGGCAATGGAGAGAAGAAGGAAGAGCAGAGCTAACAGGCAGAATAATCATTGTACTGCAACACTAGCAAGAGATTTGTGAGTACCAGGGGAATGGAGGAAACTGCCAGCTGAATGTGGAGGGGTTAAAAGCAGGGAAATCTTGCAAAAAATTGTAAGGGAATATCTTATTTTACTACTTTTTCATTAGGTAAGTTTGGTAAAGCAATGTCACAGCTGCTGAAAGGTGAGTAAGCATGTAGTGAGCTCTGTAAATTCTGGAAGCATTTGCACTGACAATTAGAGCTGGTTCTAGGCAAAGGCCTTATTTTGTGAAAACTAATACGACGGTTATGGTTATACCAACCCATTATGATTAACCTCTCCTTAGGAAATTTATGTGTACAAATATGAAACGAGATTAACACACTAAAATTATGATTTTTAATGACTTGAAGGCCTTTAAATGGATGTCTTCCGTAGTACATGGAGATGAGGTACAGTCCACTGTAGTCTCAGTCTATGATGAGATGCTGCTTTTATTACAGGCTCAATTCTTGCTATAGCTGTAGTGTCCATTAATACAGGCGTCATACCAGAGGCTCCTTTGAAAAGCAAGGGATTAACAAATTATTTAATAGATATCGACTTTCTTTTGTACAAAACAGGTTTTGTTTTTTTTTTTTTTGTCCTTCCAGTCCTGTCACTCTGAAGTATATGGGCATCCTTCACGTGTACAGAACAAACACAGGGCCTGTTAGTACCAAAAAGGAAGGGAAAGAATGATTGGAATCGTGCAAAGAGGCAGGGGGACAGTCCAAGTGAGTCTCCAGTCTCTAAGTGAAAAGACACTTAAAAAGCTAATTGAAATGAGTGTAATTGCTGGTACAGATGTGCTGTCTGAATAGGGGACACTGCCATCAGCAGTGGCAAAGGTGTGAAGCTAAGACTATAAATCAAAACCTATAAGGCTAAGGATAATTGTCTTGCAGCACACCATGTGTTTTCACTGGAATAGATGAGAGAAGAGAAAGATGCTGGAGAAAATCCAGAAGTCAATTGTTCTGCTGTGCTCTGGAGCAGAGATCCTCCATGTTTGATGGGAGGACCAAAATCATGTTGCAGACAGCATCCTCCTATTTGCTTATGAGTTAACCAAAGTTGCAGAGATGGTGGCAGCCTCTCTTTGTAGCAAGCAGAGCTGGGTGCCTATGGGCAGTACTTCAAACTTACCTGGCCAAGTCTTTTGCTCTATCTTGATTTGATGGCTTTTAAGGAAGTGGTTTGTTTGGCTTCTCCAAACTCAGAATGAAAAATAGAAAAGCAGGCTGGAAGCGGACATAACAGCTTGCTGCTATCTGCATGGTTTCCTCACGGTAATATATTTGAGCAGTCAGAGATGAGGCAAGCACACCTATTATCCTTATTTCCCATGACAGCAGCTGGAAGGCTTGGATTGCCCAACAGAGGAGACCTAGTAGCAACCTGCTTCTTTCAAGCAGAAAGCAAGTGAGGTATCCAAGCAATGCATACTTATCTTGCTTGGAGTGGGTGGTAAAATTACAATCTAGTCATCTGTATTTAGGAGAATAATTATTTTTAAGCACTCCTGTTGCCAATGTTGTTTTGTAAGTATTTAAGAAAAATGATTCCTTTTCTTGTGGTGGATGTTGGTAGCAGCTGTATTGCATTCAACATTCCAGTGCCCTTCCAGCTCACTTAGATGAACGTAGCTGGGGATGTCAACAGCCATAATGTGACAAGGTTCTCTTATACAATACATATCCCTTATTACTTAGTTACTTTCCCCTTCTGTATTCAACTTTTATTTCTTATTGTGCACACTGAAGGAGGAGGCAATGGTGTTATTCAGTTCTGTAGACATGAAAGATTCTTGGGGTATAAAGTCTTACTAGGTTTGAGTTAATATGTGCCTTTTATGAGGTGTTTTTTTTTATTTGTACTTTGTTTAAGGAAGGAAGCCAGTTGGGTGAGGCAGTTTTAAAAGGCAGAGCTGAAATGCCATCATCTCTCTGGGGAAGAAAAATGAGAGTTTTTTGTTAACAGAGAAGCGTGAGGAGATCTTGTGTGTGTTTCAGAAGTAACCACGTTGCTGGTGAATTTAAAATTGCTTCAGGGAGTAAATGGTTTTAGAATGTTCAGGGTAGGTAACAATTAAGAATTTCAATTCTTTGCCTTTAGAGATTTTACGTATTTCAGTTGCAAACAGTAGCTGTTTTCTGGGTTACCATTGAAATATCTTGTTCACGTGGTTACTACCTATTAGTACCTATATATATATAACTATATATATATATATATATGTGTGTATATATGTGTATATATATATATATATATATATATGTATAACTATATACAGTTACGCTCAGTCACAGAACTAACTTTTTACCAGTAAAGTAACTGTCCTTTTCCTCCACAACACAAAGTAATACACCTTTTGGAAAACTTTTTCAATCATGATCAGTGTATGGTTTTTGCCTGTTCCTCTGCGTATGTAGTGATGCAAATTAAAGGATCCATTCTGTACTAACATGCAGAAGTGTTGTTGGCTCTTAAAGTGCGAGATCAAGGCTTTCATCCATATGTTTAAACTATTTATGAGCCTAAAATCATAAACATAGATCAAAGTTCTGTTGTCCCATTCATATTTCTGTGTCACTGACTGTAATAGAAAAGTACTTTGAGAGTCTTAGTCACATGAGGGATTGAGATGTGGCTGTGGTAAGGAAGGGCTGTTTGTAAAGCACTTGGAAGAGAATGCTTTGTGTAGCAAATACTGTTTGTGATTTTTATCTGAAAGGCTTGGTAATGTCAGCCTTAGTAGAAAAGATGGGCAAATTATCAACCCTCGCAATACTTGGATACTGTAAGGTATTAAGGTAGAGAAAACCTTTGTGTGCTAAAGCTGGTAGGCTAAAGGACTGACACTGATTTGGAAAGCTATTGATCCAGCACAAGAAGCAACCTAATTTGAGAATCTGGAATATGGAACTTTTTGAAGTTCAGGGTTGAGAGAAGAGGGATGAATGTGCAGGTGCACCAGAGTGCACCCATATGTCCTGCTGCAGTTCCAAGTCCAGGCAGCTTGTGGGTGCAGCCCAGGTGGCTGCTCAGCTCACAGCAGATCTAAGTCATTTCAGAATAAGCTGTGAGAACAAGGTGCCATCAGACCTACACTGCCTCATTTAAGAGACTCAACTGCAGCTGATCCTTTCTCGAAAGGCTTTTTAAACAAGCGTTCTCTGAACTTTGATACTTTGTTGAATTTGATGGACTTCCTAATCTTGATCGTTAACTGGAATCTCTGTGAGAGTCTTAATTAACCGAGTATATTAGATACCAAGAAGTTAATGATAAACTCAGAAATATGCTGCATAGCCATCTGTCTTGTTAATTATGTTGACACCACATTGGAGTTGCTTTGATTTAGTTCCTCCAGGTTCAGTGTGGCTCTTCAGTTTCAGCTCTGTCCTTCATTTCAGCTGTGCTCTGTCCTTCCAAGCAATCCAAAGGCTTTCACCAAGGAGCTGCTGTGAGCCACAGGACAAGCACTCTGCATTGGAGCATCCTTCTGTGCTCTGAAACTCAAAACCAGGTGCTCTCTTAACTGGTAGTGCTTTCGCTAAAGCAGCTAACTGCTGCCTGATTTATGAGTAAATTGTTTCTTGTAGGAGGAAGGGCTGTTTGTTTCCATGCCCTAAAGTGCAATACAAAGGCCAAATCTCCACCCAATCTCAAGACAGGTCTGATCAACATTATAAAAAAAACGTGAAGCTATGCTGGAGGCAAACCAAAACGCTCCTCAGCCTCCTAGAAGACACCTCCTGACTTGTTGGGAGGATGAAGCTCCTGGCACTCTGTGGCTTTCTGTTTGTCTTCCTTTTGTTCCTCAGTGCCTTTACTGCAGAAGGTACAGTATATATTTTTCTAAGACGACTGTTTCCCTTCTTCTCTTGTGCTTCTCTCTTGTAACTTTAAAAAAAAAAAAAAAAAAAAAAAAGTGTGCTTATTCTCTGATTGTTGATTTTAATTAGAGGAAACAAACAGAGCTTGGCAATCAGGGAGGAAAAGACGACAAATTTAGGGAAGAATTTAGAGCTGCCAAATATCTTTGCATGCTTTGCATGGTGGTTTTTTTCTTTGCTACCTGTTGCACACTGTGTAGAGTTGTCAACCCTCATCTGTGTTCTGAAACCCACTCCCTGTCTGCAGCCCTGAAAAGAGGTCCTTGTTAAATTTTTTTCCAGTAGACAACTATCTAACATTGTAAGAGTTGCACATTGCCCAAGTAGGGAAGAAAATTGGTGGAAGGCATCTTTACACTTGTGGAATGAGGGGAGTATGGAACAGAACTGGAGTAAATGGGAAAGTCTGATCAGAGCATGAGACAGGTGACGGTAGCTCTCCTGACCATCAGTCAGTCTCAATTTTTTTCTTTGGTGCTGATATTGCATAATTTAATAACTACATTACTTTATGGCACTCATTTACCACTTTGTAGTATTCCAAAGCACGCAATTTCAGAGGGCTTTAGACCTTAAAAGGGGTTTCTTTGTCCACAGAACATACCTGTAGATGCCATTCTGGCTTTGCGAGGTAAAAGGTTTAGTAGGATTTTGAAACTGAAGAATGTCACACTTAGAACTCCTGGTTACCTCTTCAGATTTGATCTTTGATGTTGTAAAGGTCTGAGACCTACCGTTGGGCCCCGCACTACAAGAAAGACATTGAGGCCCTGGAACGTGTCCAGAGAAGGGCAACGAAACTGGTGAGGGGTCTGGAGCACAAGTGTTATGAGGAGCGGCTGAGGGAGCTGGGGTTGTTCAGTCTGGAGAAGAGGAGGCTCAGGGGAGACCTCATTGCACTGTACAACTTCCTGAAGGGAGGTTGTGGTGTAAAAGGGTCTGGCCTCTTCTCCCAGGCAAATAGTAGGACCCGAGGAAACGGCCAGAAGTTATAGCAGAGGAGGTTTAGGTTGGACATGAGGAGAAACTTTTTCTCTCCAAGGGTGGTCAGACCCTGGAATGGCTGCCCAGGGAAGTGTTGGAGTCGCCGTCCCTGGCAGTGTTCAAGGGGCGCCTGGATGAGGAGCTACGAGATGTGGTTTAGTGCTTGTGGTACTAATAGGAATGGGTGATTGGTTGGACTAGATGATCTTGCAGGTCGTTTCCAACCTTGTGATTCTGTATTGTTCCATGGTGTTTATTTTTTAGACAAGATGTAGTGAATGACTATAAGATAAGGAAAGCCAAATAAGTGTCCAGCCATCAAAAGCAGCAGATTTTTCATGCTTCATGCATTCTAGAAAGCTCATAAAAGTCATTCGATATGTGCACACGAGCGTGGAGAAACATGCAGAAGCTGTTCCTCAAAAGTAGTAAAGCGAGTTGCCCAGTTTTCTCCTTTAACAGAGCTGATCTGAGGGGTAGATATGTCAGCCAGAGTTATGGTGAGGGTGACTGAATGCTGGGGTGTGTTTTTATAAGTGTGCCTTAGGTCAAAGGAAGCTGAAGTGTGTCTAGATTTGTCTTCAGGAGCATAGCAGAAGCAACAGCAGTACCCGATAAGACGTAAGTAGAGAGCTGCCCTGTATTAATGTTCCTTCCCAATAGTGTGCATCCAAGGAAATTCATACTTCCTAGGATCAAAAGAGACAGAATAATTTTTGTAGGATGCTCTTCCTTATCCGTAATGATCCACAAGCACACTGATCAGCAAGACCTAAGTAATGTGCATGAGGTTTCTGGGTCGTGTAAGCATGTGAGCGTGCTTAAGTGCAACTGTGCAGTGGTGTTGAAGAGCAGTCTAGAATGAACTGCAGCTATCTGCTCACTTCTGACTGTGGTTCTAGTGCAATGTTACTCATTCCAGCTGCGGTGAAAGTGCCTGGGTATACAAATTGGTTACATTTTACGTAAAACGTGTTAGATCAGAATGAAACAGTGGTAATGTGACTTCACAAGCCTCTTGGATGCTAGAACAGCCACCACCACTTGCCTTGGCTGTAGAACTGTGCCACAGGGATTTCTGGGATCGCTGAGCATGTGGGAGACTTTGCTGTTGAGAATTCAACCAACCTCCATCCTTTGTGTTCCACCTCTGCTCTGTGCTTGCTACCCTGTCAACCTTTATTCTCCCTATAATGTATCCAGCTCTGTACCAAGCATTCAAGCACAATCAACAGCTCACTCAGGTCTATTAGGCAGGGAGTGACTAAATGGCTTTGCCTGTTCAAAACAATTTATTCTGTACTTCTGTGCATGTGGACCCAGAGATGCTCTATTTGTCCTCTTGGATGTCTTCTATCCTTTCCTTAGGTGATGTAGCTGTAAAAAAAAAAACAGAGCTTTGTTTGTTTGTTTTACATTAAGGCAGCTGGAATTTGCTGGTCATGTTGCCTGCTAATGTGTGACCTTCTAAAGGTAAAAATCCTCACATTGTATCTGGCATATTGTGTCTACTAGTAATGATAGAAGATGATGAATTAATTCCTGCTCTGTGCTAGGAACAAGGTGTGAACGAATGTAAAAATCAGTTGTGGTGATCCTTTGTTTCAGAGGTCTCTCTCTTCTTCAAGGACTTTAATGATAAATAATGTAATCAACATGTCTATGAACTCTAACACATTTTGTGCATGTACTCTGCATCTTTTTTTCCCTTGACAGTGTATGATTTTTTCACTCTTAGGTCGGAATGTTAAAAAAGGCTGCTGTTCAAAACTGGCCAAAATCAACAGAAGAGTGCATAAAGGTAATATCTGCATTTTTATTGTAGCGATTAGATAATGCTTAATAAGATAAGACTTAAAGATAAAATCACATGGTTTAACAGAGTTTGCCATGCAAGAATTACCTTTGCTGTACAAATGAGATGCTGTTTTCTTGATCATGTGATGCTTCAGCATTTGGAATTGAAGAAATAAGACTAGAAAAGCTTCTGTTCGATGCTCACTGTGTCAAACATTTTGGAAGAAAGGTAATAGCCTGATCTAAGCATAAAGTGTTGTATCAATTCATGCATTGTGGAAGGCTGTGCTGCTGTTTTGAAGGCAGGAAGTATAAAATCATAGCATGGTTCCTTGTTGACAAGAACAGGGACTACAAAAGTGCAATTTTATGGTGTCTTTGCCTTGCTCCATTCTGTGACTATCTGTGGGTGAATACATCTCCATGTCTTACATCTCTCCATGAAGCATAATTCTGTTAATTACAAAAAGCTCAAATTTTGATCTTGCAATGCTGTTTGGACTAAGAATTGTGTGAAGCTGGATTTGCCCTAAGTAAGAATGTCTTTGGACTTCTCAAGTACAAGTGTACTTGCATTTGAGAATTTCAAGGTCATCTCTAGCCAAATGTGTTCCCTGCAAGCATAGGTAGAAAAGGAGGGCCACCCTCTAGTCTTCTGAGATTGTTTGTTCTGAGGGGAAATGCCAAAAATCATAGCATTCAGAGTGAGGGCAAGACATTTTGTTGCCTTTCTGGATGGTGATTTTATCCTTTCAGAAAACTTTGAATGTAATTGTGTTTGGAGTGAGTTTTTTTGGCTTCATTTTTTGACTGACTGGTGCCTTGCTGTGAAATGGTGATCAAATGCTTGTATCTATGGACTTGTTATATCCTGTATGTACCTTTTTGTTGACTGAAAACACTGTGTAGTTGAACAAGCCTGCAAATGGCTCTATTCACTTGGCAAAAGCAGATGAAAAGTGAGAGAAAGCTGAAGGTTGTCTTCTCATCCAGATGGATGATGGAAGAATTATGTCTGATTTCCTTGCTCTAATTGGGTTATTTTGGATAGCAAAAGGAAGGTTCCACTTCCTCCAGAAAGAATGAGAAAGAGTTCCTTTCCTCAGAAAAAATCAGTAAGGCGCTGATTAGATTTTTCTACAACTATATGCTTCAGTACATTACACTGTTGTCTCACTTAACAATCTTGTACATTTTCGTTTATCCTTACTACAGCTGCTCAGTACCTTTTCTAATCTCAGCCCAAACTGGTTCTTTCTTTATTTCCATAATGTCATTAGCTTCAATAAGACACGGGTAAAAGAAGTAAACCATGAATAGTTATATGAGTGAAAATAATAATAATTAGGTTTGCTCCCTAAAGTAACAATATTTGAAATTGTATGTTTCTAAATGCATTAAAATGGACAGCTAATAAGTTTCAGTAAACTTTAAAGGCACAGAATATGATCAATAGCCTTTTCTTTTTCTTTCAATTTTTCCTCATGGAACTACTGATATTGAACTTCCCTGCAAATACATTTCCAGTGAGAAAATACTTGGAATCCTTCATTCCTCTTTGTAGTTAGGTGACCTATGTGAAAATCCTTGTATTTCTCTGCAGTTTTCCTTTAGCTGGTGCCTCCAACCCTTCCTATTTTATCCCCCCTGTGCTGAATGAAATGGGTAACCTCCAGCAAAGCCATGAAAAAACGTATTGCTGTCTCATCCTTTTTGTTTTCAGGTAACTTAAGACAGGCCATGTTAACAGTTCAGTTTCAGGTATGAATATTTTGTGTTGTTGCGAGCACTTCAGATTAAAAATCTTAGCATTCTCTCTCCTTTCTGTCTCCATCTTACAGGTTCGCGTTCCAAAATGACTCCAATGCAAATAAGGAAATGCAAGCCCTGTGCTGCACCAGGCCCTGTCTTCGCTCCCGGACCTCTTCCACAGCTAAAATGAGCAGATGGAGCATCTGTCTGCCCGCATGTCCCAGTGCTTTACTTGGTTGAGGGTCCTCTTTTTGCAAATAGTGCATGAATGCCTGCTACTTTGGTCAATATTTATGTATTCCCTCAGGTTTCATCTTGTTATCATTAACTTGGCAGCTGAGAAGCCAGGCAGAGCTGCCTGGCTGCTACTAGACTTTATCTGTTGCATGTTCCTCTTAACCAAACAGGGATTTAGCTCTGCAAGCAAGCGAAAGAGGAAGGCTGGACAAAATGCTTTGGTTTGCATTTCTGGATGGGAAAAGGCTGATGTTGTTATTGTTTCTGGTTACTGCTATATATATATGCGTGTATTCAACATTTTATCTGAGTAATTTCTTATTGACAAAAGGATTCTGCTTGTAGCTAGGACAGACTTGTTCCTGCAACATTTGTTCTCACTGCTCGAAATCCACTCGTAAGTGGATTTCTAGCAAGTGAAAATGAGCTTATGATTTAGAAGGGGCTGAGAAGCTAGATAAGCAGGCTGTTTTAAAATAGTTGCAGAGGACTAGATTCAAATACAGTTCTAAGCACTTCAGTATCTCCTCTGGGGGACAAACTGGGCTTCAAAAGCATGGGGGCTGTTCTTTCGCTTCCCAGAAGCATGTCATCAGGTGGTTATTAAATATACTGAAAGGATGTTGAGGTTAATCAGATTAAATCTTCTCCTTCTGAAGCCAGAAGGCAGTTATTCTGTTCAAGCACCTGATCTGTGTGATTACTTCAGTAAACAGAACTCACTGAAGTGTGATATTAAACAAATGATATGAATATTGCCTGAGTGCTAATGAGAGAAACAGAAGTTGTCTGATGTCATCACCACTGGAGCTTTCACTCAGGTATCTCCTGTCCTTTTCTACCTGTCTCCTGTCTGTGCTGTTATTTCTGTGCCCGGGGTGAGTCCTCAAACAAGAATTGCTTGGAGGTTTATGAGCTTGGCTTTCCCTCTAGTGAATATGAGGTGCATTGGAAAGCTTTTCCGCTCTTGGGCAAATTGAAATTTGCCAGTAGTAATTTTACCTTCAGCAGAAGGAAAACTGCGGTTTCCCTAAGGTAATTTCCAGGATGATAGAAATGGTCTCTGTGCCCTTCATTAATCTGGGGTAGCTGTGCAGGGGTGGTTAGATGCCTATTGTAACCCACCCAGGCAGTAGTGTTTCCCCAGAGAGAAGTTAACGGGCACTCAGATCTGGCCATGCTCTCTTATTGTCAACGTTTATATTGTGCTGAGCAATTGCTATTACTGCACTTTATTGTTTTTTGAGTTCAGGTAGATCTGACCCTCAGCTTCCTAGCTGTGAGCTGACCACACATGGTGTTTTCATATCAAGGATGAAAAGGATCCTCTGGTCCTAGCAGGATCTGAGCCAAGGTTGATGGAAAAGCTGTGTTCAATAATTACGCTGACCACTGAGCAAACATGTTTAGCTTTATTTTGGTTTTGTACGCCACAAAAGGTGTCAGCAATAGCAGTGATGTAGTAAGTGTTTTGGATATGACATGTTTTCAGCCGTGGTTTTATCTCTAAAATGTGGCAATGTGTTTACAGCCCCATGCAAAGCGTTAGTAACAGCTATGAGGGGTTCTGCTCTCTAACAACATGAGTTAAGGCCATTTGTTTTATGTTTGCAAAATGCTATGAGATTTTTCTTTTTGTCCTTCTAACAGCAGGATCCACGCTCTGGTCCTTTTTCAGGCAGCATTGTTTCTGGTAGCAAAAGAAGTTGCCCAAGACCATCAGCATAATTAGAGAAATGCTGGGGGTCTCTAGACATCACCAAGGCACTTGGGTATTTTTATTCACCTGGCTTCTCAGACTAGCCTCAACCTAGGGTTAAGGGCTCTTCAAATATATAAATATGTCATGTCAGTGAGGCCTTGGTTTTGACTGAACAAACTAAAGCAGGATCCTCAAGCTATTTCAGCTCTGACTGTGATGACTGCTGCTCAAATATGGTTTTTGCCTGGCCTACCGGTATCCAAGAGGTCATCTGTCATCTTCCCAAAGGTGATTCCTCACCTTGAAGTCAGACTTCTACTTCTTGAACTATTTTCCCTATGTGGTAGAACAGAGTTACCTCCTGATCACAGCTTCACCTTATAGGCACCTGTTCTTCATTTTGTTTCCTTTATTTCCATATTTATTTTCTTGGCTTTACCTGAGGAGAAACATATTTACTCAGTGGCTTTGCAAAATCCGCAGTCGGCATGCTTACACGAAGCAATAAATTCAGCGTGCCCAAGCTCACACGTGCATTTCTTTGTATCCTGCATTTTTGTGTGCACCTGGCTGTCAGGCATGAAGACTGTAGAGCTTTCATGTTCCAATAAAGATATTTTTGATGTATCTCTATGCCTCCCAGAATACATGTTGGATCCTAGTCTGATATTGTCCACTTGTTCTGAGATTAATACCATCAGCTGACACCAAATTGGTCTTTTATATGTTACTACGGATGTGTCCCATCAGGGGCACAGAGAAATGGTTGCTGCTGAGAGGGGCTGTTAGAGCACAAGCAGTTTGTTGTTTTTTTCCTACAAACTCTGTACCAGAAGTCTAAAAGCTACATATTCTTTGTACAAATAATAATCTCAGAGGTGTATTGGGGATTCTTGCCGTTGAACCCTCAGCCGTCTTGACTCTGGCCTACACCTCATTCGAGGGTCTGGGTGTAGCTGCTTTCAGGATTTTAGCTCTGCAGAAGTTCTGTTAATCCAAAGTATGGGCTACTATGGCAGTTTCCTATGATTGTATTTTCTAAGAAAAAACAAAATCCTGCATAGGTAACGTCATTACAGATGATTAGTCAGGTGAAGCATGAAAGCAGAGGCATGACTTCTTGCTCTTGCAGATCTGTATGCTCTTGCTGAAGCTGAGTGGAAGGTTCTTCGTGATTTGAGTGTTGAGAGGATTGAGTCTAGAGACACGTTGCCTGATCCTCTTCTGTCCAGTTTTGCTGCTAACTGACCTACCAGACAGATACAGCAGCCTTGCCAGATGGTGAATGCAGATTGAATTCTATCTATATTTGACCAAAGTTCATTTTGAGAAGAATCCAGCTAAAATTTAGCTGTGACTTTCTTCTCTCCTCAGTTGAAGGTGAGAGGAAAATTGCTTCACAAGTCAATCTTTTTTTTTTTGGCATCAAACGGATGAATTTTTCCCTCGTTAGATCTGAGCAGTTGTCTCTGCTGTTTTCTCTGCAGAATTAAGTATTTGTTTAGATGATGGTGGGGAAAAAAAAGAGCTCCTTAGCCCTACATTAAGTAACGTGTGCAGGCATGTTGGTTCTGACTTGTGCGTGACTTCAGTTCCCAGCAGCAATTCAGCATTATAAGGCTTCTGGTGGGCACTGGATGACTAAGTTGCTTTCTAGCACCCAGCTGTCTCATCATATTTCACATTTTCATCTCGGAGTAGGTGTATAGGCATGGGAGAATTTCCCCCAAATTACTTGTGTTTTCAGTGTGTCACTGGTGAAATCTGCTGGAAAAGTTATCTGGATGTGCATTTGTCCGAGTCATCATTCAGCCCTTCAGCTGCCACTTTGCCTCAGAGGCCCTGCTGTGAGTGTCATCAGGCGTAGGGGATTTAATTCCACATTTTCAGGCTGGTACTCAATGAGGGAATGACAGAGGCCAGAGATTTGCAGTAACATAAGCACATTACTGTCTCAGTGCCATCTAGTCAGCCTCTGAAAGCATGATCAGAGAAATCAAGTCACTTGATGCCTTGAGAGATCCTAAACTGGGCACGACTTGCCTGTCTTCTTGCACACTCCCAAAAACCTCTGCAATTGCAAGAAGCTGTCAAACCAAGCCCAGTTGATGTCAGGCTCAAACTGCATGCGGCGCGTTTGCTGGAGAGCAAGTGAGTCACAGCTAGCAGTGCAGCACAGATGCTTGCAGGAGAGGGTTTAAGCCTTGTACGGGAGAAATACCAGCCCAAACATTTGAAAGCTTTTGTGCACAACGTGCCTGTTCAGCGAATGATTGTGATCAAGTCTCTAAAACTGGACCACATGTGCAGCCTTCTAACAGTGTAGCTTACACAATTGTGATATGCTTAACACACTCAAAGCACTAATAGACCCTGGTTAATAAGATGTCCAAGTCCAAAAGCGAAACAGCAGTAGGGTTTCTCTCAGCTGACAAGCAAGGTGACACTTAATATCTGTCAGTGGCAGAAGAGATCTGTTCTCCTCATTTCTCCAATGTTGTTTGGTCATTAGCACTGATCTCAACCCGAGGGACAAAAAGGCACATTCCCAGGGAGTGCTATGTGGTTAGTTGTAGCCAATTCATCTTTCCTTGGTTTCTGGAAATAAGATGTCTGTGGCATGCTCTTATAATTGGATCCTACAGCCACAGTGCGCTGGATATTACCATCTTCGCTAGGTGGTTTTTTGAGTCAAAACTTCCCATTTGTCTCACTGAAGAGCCCTATGTCATAGTCAGTGCTGGCTGTGCGGTGTGCTCACTGAGCAGAGCTAAAACTTGTTTGCATCTGCCTGGCAAGAAAGATGATTTCATGCAAAAACAGTGTGAAGAAGTCCATCTGATCAGAGAAGCAGTCAGATGTTTTGAAACAAGTTTCTGAATGGGATGGATATTCAGTAGGGTCCACAAGTCCCTCTATAAAACATTCCCTTCAACTTAAGAACCTTTCAGTTGCTAACTTTTGATTATATGGGAAACAATGAATGATGGTTGTTGTCTCTGGGTTCTTGTCTTGAAGTTGTTTGATTGTACTAAGGTTAAACAAACAAGCATTTTCCTTTGTCTTGGTTAAGTATATACTTAGGCTGCTTGCTTTTGTGAAAGCATTTGGATGAGTGGATGATGAGATGAAACAGAAAATACCTGAGCTCAAGTTATGTCTGGGAAAGGATTACGTACGTGGTTAATATTAGCCTTGTAATTTCCACCTTTGATGTTTGAATTCCCCCATATTTCTATTGAGTTAGGTGAAGACTGACTAGATTGGAGAAAAGATCCTAAAGTCTGAGAAGTGAAATCCATTCAGTTCTCAAATTGGCACCTGTAGTTGAGATTCTCACTATATAGTCCTATCAAATCTACTAACGGGTTGTTAAAAAAAAAAAAAAGAGAGAGAGAGAGAGAAATTCAATAACTGTGGTACTTTGAGATAAAGTACTTGAAGGTGTGTGAGGTGAAGAGCCTGTCTGTGGGCTTTATCCAGTGTAAACAGCTTGCTTTGAAAATCATGAAAACAGTGTATTTAGAGGACTGTTGACTGCGTAGAAATTTCTCCAGTGGCAGTTACCAAAAGTTTATGTGGGAACAGAGTGATAGTCCCATGTGTTTTTGAGGTAAGGTAAATTACTTCAAAGCCAAGTTTTTAGATCTCCATGTTATGGATAGAAAAATTATTGGAATGTATCTTGCATTCAGAACTTTCAGGTTAAGGATGAACTTTGGTGTAAGGATTGCCTCTCATTACAGCAATCCAAGGTGAAGACTGAGGTGTTCTCCAGCCAGTTAGATCTTCAAAATCCTAACAAGGTAAGTACCTTGACACATAGTGTTGAGTGTGATTGATCCGTGGGATTCCCCATAGTGAAGGCTCACATCTGCATTCTCAGCTACAGAAGTTGTGGAAAGACCTATCAGCAACCATGGTGCCACGCATTTACCTGAGTAAAATCCGGAGACTGCATCATCTGCTGTGGCTGAATTGCTCGTGTGGTCTAAAGCTGATCTCCAGTCAGGGGCGTAGTTTACCTGTGATCTTCGTATTTGTCCATTTCCTCTACTAAAAAGCTGATTTTACTTATATATGCCAATAAAATAAATATATGTAATTTTCATACATCCTCTGATTCAACAAGTCATACCATTGCCTTGTAAACAGGCCATCTATACAGTAATGTCCATGGCATGCACACCACCCATCAAATTTACAGGGCAAACAAGAACGTTTCCTTATTCTGCATTGACAAGTTCTCTTATTTTTTGTTTCATTTTCTCTTGTTTTTCACAGCCATACCAGGTAAATGATAAAATCTTGATTCATTTATTATTCATACCCCACCCTCACAAACTCTGAGATATATGTACAATTTTTGCAGGGAAAATGAACAGTTGTTATTCTTTCATAAATAACTTGGACTGTCTGTCTGCTGCTAAGTGGCATCCTTCACACAAATCTGTGTCATGCTCCATGACATCACATATTGTAGTGACCGTGCTGCTGAAGTGAATACGGGCTATCTAAATGTACCTGAATATTTTAGTGTCTGTTTGTTCTTGTGTCCCTGTCAAAACAAAATGAGGACAGCAATATGTAGCTTTTAACAGACTGCATTTACTGAATTGTGAATTGATTTTTCAGTAGCCTTAGAGAGCTTCTAAGCTAATGAAATGGCTTAACAGGAATTTCAATTACTTACCAGACACGTTAAAATTTCTCCATGCCCCAGTTACCTGCAGCACCATTTCTTCAAGTATCATAAACACCCTATAGCAGGCTGTAATGAGGAAGAACCACATCTGAGATGAAGCAGTGGGAATTGTTGCTTCATCCCAGGAATTCCCCGAACCTACTCCATGACCACCTACTGCTAATGACTGCAATTTGTGGTAAGTCATGCTGGCAAGTGCTCTAAAAGTTTTGTGTTGCAGATTGGCATTTTTTTCTAGGGGATGGTTTCGTTATGCCTGAATTTACCTATTTGGGGAAGGCCGGGGAGGAAGAAACAAAAAAAAAAGCTTCATCTCAGATGCATTTTATAGTAAGTC